CTTAGAAAACTGTAGAAATCACTGTAAGAGGACCATCTATTGTTACGTAAGTGTATAGTGTAGGAATAGGTTGAGCTATAACCCATACTACACACAACTATACAGAGGTGTGTGAATAGCAAGTGTGTACTTGGTATTCAGACGATTCCGATAAAACACTGAGGCACGCCAATAAACAATAGGATATGTTGGCACTCTCAGTGTCCACGTGAATTAATATGTTCATAATTACACGCTTGAAAAACCCATAAAGCTCATTTAAGAGTCGCGATGTGCTGAAACTTTCTCATGTGTATTTACTTCATCTCAATATAAATAAATCGTGTCATCCTACATCACGTACAAGAATGGGCCCCAAATATGTAGTGTTTCTTCCCTTGTAATTTACTTCAAAGCACGCCATACATATGTAACCCTGGTAAATACTAGCTGCAATATACCGCTCGGCTATAGAGATATTCTCTTTAGCTTGATCGGTTGAGCGTTAGACTAGTAAGCCAGAGGTTCCGGGTTCGATCCTCAGCGGAGGCAGTGAAATATTTGTTTATATTTCACGTGGTCTGTTACATTGGCGCCCACGTAGGGACCCGGGTGAATTGACAAAATACTCAGCGCTAGCTATACTTGCGAAGGAATGGCTATGACCGTGACCCCTGGAAGCTCGAGGACGAGTTCTTCCCTGGAGGGGGAGTATGTAACCCTGGTAAATACTAGCTGCAATATACCGCTCGGCTATAGAGATCTTCTCTTTAGCTTGATCGGTTGAGCGTTAGACTAGTAAGCCAGAGGTTCCGGGTTCGATCCTCAGCGGAGGCAGTGAAATATTTGTTTAAATTTCACGTGCTCTGTTACATTGGCGCCCACGTAGGGACCCGGGTGAATTGACAAAATACTAAGCGCTAGCTATACTTGCGAAGGAATGGCTATGACCGTGACCCCTGGAAGCTCGAGGACGAGTTCTTCCCTGGAGGGGGAGTATGTAACCCTGGTAAATACTAGCTACAATATACCGCTCGGCTATAGAGATCTTCTCTTTAGCTTGATCGGTTGAGCGTTAGACTAGTAAGCCAGAGGTTCCGGGTTCGATCCTCAGCGGAGGCAGTGAAATATTTGTTTAAATTTCACGTGCTCTGTTACATTGGCGCCCACGTAGGGACCCGGGTGAATTGACAAAATACTCAGCGCTAGCTATACTTGCGAAGGAATGGCTATGACCGTGACCCCTGGAAGCTCGAGGACGAGTTCTTCCCTGGAGGGGGAGTATGTAACCCTGGTAAATACTAGCTGCAATATACCGCTCGGCTATGTCAATACAATCTTGCCTTGTATACATGCATGCACCTGTCCATCCTGTCAAAATTTAATATGAGTTCATGTACATGTACCTCATGTTACACATTTTCATGTGTCTGAGTGTTGGAAATAAAATCTGAAATCTGCTATAGAGATCTTCTCTTTAGCTTGATCGGTTGAGCGTTAGACTAGTAAGCCAGAGGTTCCGGGTTCGATCCTCAGCGGAGGCAGTGAAATATTTGTTTATATTTCACGTGCTCTGTTACACATACATAATGTACGAATCTTGTGATTTTCTCATACAATGATAGCGTTAAAGTTTAAAAACATGTCTGATTTAAAACTTTCCTCTCTTACCTACTCTTCCTTTGACGGTGTGTGCACCGGTCTCCATGACCTTTATTGTTGTGAGGACTAAACCCCCAAACCATGACTCTACTGGTGGTCTACCAGTACCGATAGTAACCGTCACATTGTATACAATACAGTGCAAGTTGTAACATCTGTGACCTTATCAGTTTTACGGGCACCACGCCAGGTATTTCTATGTCTAACTATCTAGACATGAATTTTCATTCCTTCCAGTTGACGAAATAGCCGTATTGTGCAAGTATGGTGCAGTAAACATTTAGTTTTTCTGGGTTTCTGAATTGACACAATACTTTGTAAATGTGCACCCTGATGTGTTACCTGCTTTTAGCTGACGATTGCGCCTGATGGTTTAATAGGGTTAAACGTTCTATCAACAAAGCCAATGCCATTTAAGGAGGAGTCTCCATGTGTGTAATATGAGGCAAGGTATTTTGGTGTAGCTTCCTCCTTGCGATAGCGCGGATATGATGCCGACTTAATAGTACTACCTCACTGAAATACAATATCAAAGGCACCAGAACGGTCTTCCATCCGGTCCCATTATACTGACAACGGGTAAACCAGTTATTGCCAATACCCTAAATGAGGAATGTTAAGCAGGAAATAAACTACCATTACTCATGGACTTTGGTATGCCATGACCTGGGGACAGAGCTCAATCCCTTCCTCACTTGCCATCACATGCAGTGAGTAACAACAGGTCCATTCTTTGCTCAATTCCCGACTTGCAGGGGTGCAGTGTGCCTTACCATGCTGAGATTGCCCACTTAGAACCTAATATGTAGCATAACAATCATCGGGCTTTTTGTTCTCAGAAGTGTCCTGCTACAATGTATACATACATTATATAATAAAGAAACATAGAATGTTAATGTCGGACACCTAGAAAATATATTATTTCATATGATCTGTATATGCAGCAATCTGATTAAAATCATCATGCAGAGCCATGTAACAGATGATTTTAATAAGATTGTCTACGCAGGCTCGTCACATCTGTCGATTGTCAAAAGTTTCGTTTGGGAAAGATGGATCGGTCGGGGCCAGCGGAAACGGTTTCAAGACAATATACAAGTTTCTGAGACAAAAAAAAAAAACAGTCAAGAGAGAAATTCTAGTACACAAGACATCTGCTTTATATGAAGGCTTCAACAGGCGCCGATTTAAAAAATATTGACCTTGTAAAACATGACGTTCGTAAGATACGACCAGCGGGCACCCAAACAGCTACAACACTCGTGTCCTTTAATTCGTAGCAGGAGGCCCATGGGCCTTAACAGTCACCTGAGTTATTGAAAAACTGATGTTATCGATGTTGCCAAATGAAAAATAATAATTTTGTAACAAAGGTATACGTAACTTGAACTACATGTTATACAAAAGTAATGTGGAAGATCTGGGTATTGTATGTACTATGTACAAATAGTTGTTCTGCTAGTCAGCTGACAGGACATGCCCCTTTAGCTCAGTGGTATAGCATTGGCCTCCGGAACTTGGGGTCTTGGGTTCGATCCCAGCTGGGGCACCTCATCTTTCCACTTAGAACGAGCTGTTGGGGGGTTTATTTGAGTAAAGTTACTGGCTAAAAAGAAAACAACTGTCCTATCAAATATCTAATACACAATGTATATTGATTCATCAATGAAAAGTGCTTGTGTATTGTAACTTGCCATTTGGAAACTTTGCATCTTTTTATACTGAACATAAATTACATACAATGTAATGGTAAGAAACAACAAAACTGTGAGCTGACTACATCATCTAAATTTAACACCAGTTGATATGAAAAAGATATTTGTTTTGAGCTTTTTGTGATAACAAGGTTGCATATTTTGTTAATAATGTTAAAATTAACAGGATAACGACAAACATACAAATTGTTGTTTAAGAGAACAATCAGGCCTTTGGCAAAGTTATTTATACTATAACACTATGGATGTGTACGCCATTATTTTTAATCTTTTCCAGTTTATTCTTCTTGAAATAATAATTTTGCTTCTGTTCATGTGTCAGTCATTGCTTGTTCAGGGATAGTACTTAAGTCAACGAAGCCATATTGGAGTCTGGAGAAGAATTCCAATATGGCCAAAGCCCAAACTGTCATAATATCAAACTGTCATTTCAAAGTTATAATGTCTATCAAGTTTCAATGATTTCCAATTGGAAATGAACCAAATATACCCAAAAGTATCATTTTTCTATATAACTTTAGCAAACTTTACCCCATCCCCAGGGGATAAAGTTCTTTAAGACCCTTCTATCTATGTAGATTTTTATTTCCAGCATATATATCTTGGTCTTGATAAGATTTTTTAATTCAAGCCAATTTGACCCCTTTTAGCCCAGCCCCTCAGCCATTGGGGGCTGACTGAGGCCTGGGCCCAAACTGTCAAACGTTTGTTTCATAGTTATAACAGCTGTCAAGTTTGAATAATTTCCAATTGAAAATGAACCAAACATACCCAAAAGCATCTTTTTCATATATAAAGTATAGTAAACTTTGCCCCCTCCCCAGGGGCAAAAATGGAGTCTGGGGGTCATGAAATTCACAATTCTAATAAAGCACCCCAAGACCCTTCCATCTATGTATTTGTTTCCAGGCTATCTCATTCTGGAGAAGATGACTGTTGACATTTTTTGGCTATATGAACCCATTCGGGCTCAGCCCCTAGGGATGAGACAGGGTTAAAAATATCAAAGTATCAAACTGTAATCTCATGGTTATAATGTAAATCATGTTTGAATGATTTCCAGTAGAAAATGAACAAAATATACCCAAAAGTTGTATTTCCCAATAAAAACTATAGTAAAGTTTATCCCCTCACCAGGGGAAAACGTGATACCCCAGGGTCATGAAATTCACAATTTTGGTTAAGCACCTAAGACCCTTCCATCGATGAAGAGTATTAGATTCTACTATATCTGCATCTTAAGAAGATTTTTGAAGTTTCAGTCAATTCGACCCTTTTTGGCCCCACCCATCAGCCCCTGGGGGTCAGTCAGGGCTGCTTGGTGCATATCATCAAACTGCTATCCAATACTGATAATGCTAACCAAGTTTGAATTAATTCCAATGGAAATTAAACAAATGCTGGTCCAAAATGTGATTTCCCTATATAAACTTAAATAAAGTTTACCCCCTCTCCAGGGGGAAAAGTGAGACCCCAGGGTCATGGGTTTCACAATTTTGGTAAAGCACCTTAACACCCTTTCATCTTTGCAGAGTATTTGATTCTACCATATCTGGATCTTGAGAAGAAGAAATTTGAGTCAATTTGACCCTTGGTGCTGAAGTTTGAATAGTTCTATCAAAGCACGAAATACCACAACCATGCAATCAATGACTTTATTTAGTTACTTAAATAACATCCAGACACATATATATGATACAACAAATATAATAATCAATGTGCACCTATAGACGACAATCAATGTCATCGCCAAGGTATGTTAACCCTGTTATGTTATTTCCTCCATAACCGATGATAGCTTGTCATTATTTCCTTATAAAGCAATTATGTTTAACAAATGTCACGTTTCTGAATTTAATTTCATCTTTATGGTAGTCCCTTTACATTTGGGATCATCAAAATCCCAGCGATGTCCAGAGTATGTTTGTTTTCGGCTGTAAAATTTCCCTAAAGACGAATAAAACTAGTCTATATGTCTCTGATATCTAGGGCAATATCAAAATCAGGGAGCTTACTATTGTTTATATATCTGCTAAAATCTTGAAAATAAGCCTGGATTGAAAATAGACCCGTCTTGACATTAACTCTTGAATTCCTTCCGGTTTAACATATTTCAATAATAAGCCACCTTTGACAATAGGCCCATTCTGAGCATAAACATTGAATTCCAGGTAGAAACCACATTTTCTCTGTCGGCCTAAACCAATTTTACAAGTTCACATCAAATCACTCGACCTATTATTGCAACAATTTGATAAAAGAAAAAAGTGAAAAAATGATTTTATTTAAATAAAAAACCCTGTATAACATTATATTTCCATGCAAAGAAAAGGAGAACTAGAATATATACCATTGATGGGTAACTGTCTTAATTACTTGGAAAATAAACCTGAGATTCCTTACTGAAAACGAAATAAGTTGTGGCATATCAAGATTTTAGGGTATTTCATATCAAGATTTTAGGGTATATCATATCAAGATTTTAAGGTATTTCATATCAAGATTTTAGGGTATTTCATATGTCCTTGTGTGTTCAGAAACATTTTTTTTGGCAAAAGTCATAGTGCTGATAAAGTTTGGCATCATTTGTACAGTAGGCTTCAGACAAGTATATTTATAAAACAGTTTTGAAAGGGTATGTATCATTTCATGAAGGCATTCTGTAATTGAAAGAAATTTAGATCTGTACATTGTGATTGCATGCACTCCATTTAAAAATAATATAGGATGATAAATACTGTGTTAACATGTGTGAAAGTTTGTTAGATTCAATATGGGGTCAACATTCAAAAAGATATATTTTCTGTAGTGTTCAACTTAATTATCCAACAAGCTTTATATTAACCAGAATAGGTAGATCAAGGCACAGTAAAATTTTACAATAGCTGTAGACTCCTGTTGTTTTTGAGCTGTTACATCCTAGCCCTTGGTACAAAAAGAAAGTCTCCCAAAACACATAAGGAATTTGAAGTTCCTGGTAAACAGAGGTTAGAAATAAGTACCCAGAACACTGTTTCTATAGATATAGATAATCCCCATAGGCAATAGAAATGAAACAGCATGAGACAAACACATGTGTACACACTTGCAATGACATTGAAATTTAATATACAAACACATGTGCACACACTTGTTATAACAATGGAATTATACAAACACAGGTGCAATTGCTTATTACAATGTAATGAGACAAACATGTGTACACATGTGCAACAGCATTTGAGATGGGAGAAATGTGTAGTATCATAATATAACAAGGGCAACGCAAAGCAGTACATAATATGCCCGTCACATGTTAAATGACCAGTTGTCTGTTTGGTTGAAATATGAAATATTTCTGAGTAATTAACAGTAAAAGGGAAATAATTGTTCAAACATGAGAGATCAATAAGTGTAAAAGAACATCATGGAATGCATGTAGTATTGCATTATTGAAACCAAGGGGAATAACTCTACTAATTTATTGTGAAATATTCAGGATGCATAACTCTAATGATTATGATGAGATACTAATTGTTGGCCATTGTATGGTAATAAACCATCAATGGTTGAATATAATCTGTTGAAAATTAATGAAGATATGGAGCGGACACCGTTTTGGAAAGTGGTTAAAGGGCCCTAACTCCGTAAGTTACCGTCGGATATTGGTGATTATCAAACTTGTCCAAGCTCTTATGGTAATAAACCTTCTATGAAGTTTGAAATAAATCTGTTGAAAATTAATTATAATGATATTGAGTGAACACCAAGCACGCCCGTATACCTAGCCACCTGCCAATGTGATAACATAATATGTCCCGTCTTTCGCTGGGTGTATAAATATTGGGGAAACAATGACCCTTCCAAAAATGAAAAGGTGTTTTTTTAAACACATGATAAAATCAGAATGAAATTTTTTGTTAAACAAAGCAAATCTATACTTTGTAGCTAAATTTTATAGGTATTAGATTAGTTAAATTGCAACATCATATTTATAAATACAACAAATGGAATATGTTATGTTCAGTTAAAAATCCTTAAGAAATATGAAGGATTCCTTTGTCACTATATGATATTTAAATATCTACAAATTTTTGAAAGTCTCAGGAAAATAATAACAGTTCCAATAAACACAGAGTTCATTAGAGGCAGGTTGTACTATACATGTACTTACAACTAAATCACAAATTCGCCAATACATTTGAGTTACCAAATATTGTTAAATTTTAAAAAGTACACAAATCAACAAAAAAACACAATATGAATCTTATAAAATACAAAGAGTCATGATGAACAATCATCTGTTCCATATTAAACTGGTAAATAGGACATATCACAGATAGAGAAAATAACCAGCATAATAAATATCTATAGAGTCTACTAATCCCTTGTCAACTAGCATTAAAACTAAATAAAATGTCAATGCATAATAGAGTCTTCGAGTTGATGAAAAGTTTTCACCATGAATGTAAACATACTTAGAATAAAAAAATCATAAACGATAGCTTAACAGGTTAGTCAAGACTTTTACACTTATTAAGTTTAGGTGATAATTTCTTAGGATGGGGTATTATCTAATGACTTTCTACACAGCCTGTCAGATGTATACAACAGTGTAACAGTCATTCCAGGTATTAACACTAAGTTACAGGGTCCGATCTTCTTTAATAACATCTTAATAGCATAATTAAATTAGAGACTTGAACGAGAATATGTACAAAACTTACGAAAGTCTGAACAAAATGAGAAGTGATGTAAATAAAATGCTTGACCAGCAAGCATATCTGTTTCTTAGTGATAATCGTACAGAATTCAAACACTTGTACAAGAATGATTATACCAGGATCATTTTACACAGCAATGAATAACTTAACCAAGCCATCAGTTTAAATTCTGTAAATTGTATGTGTGAGGATAATCCACATAGAATAACAATAGATCACACTCTACAGAAAAAAGCTTTTCTAGGATTTTATCAATCACTTTTGCATCATCACCAGGTAAACAAGCAAACAAAATCAAGTTGTATCTGATTATTTACCACCATAACTTTCAACCGTAATATATTTAAGCTGATTAATTAGGCAGCAAGGACACTTTATGAAAATATCCCCAACATTTCTACCATGAAATATTTCCTTCAAATATCTTTTCAATAATGTATCTCACATCTCCACAGGCTATGTATTGCCAATCAGGCTATGTATTGTCAATCAGGATATGTATTGTCAATCAGGCTATGTACTGCCAATCAGGATATGTACTGTCAATCATGCTATGTACTGTCAATCCTGCTATGTACTGCCAATCAGGCTATGTACTGTCAATCATGCTATGTACTGTCAATCATGATATGTACTGTCAATCAGGCTATGTACTGCCAATCAGGCTATGTACTGTCAATCATGCTATGTACTGTCAATCATGCTATGTACTGCCAATCAGGCTATGTACTGTCAATCATGCTATGTACTGTCAATCATGCTATGTACTGTCAATCAGGCTATGCATTGTCAATCATGCTATGTACTGTCAATCATGATATGTACTGCCAATCAGGCTATGCATTGTCAATCATGCTATGTATTGTCAATCAGGCTATGCATTGTCAATCAGGCTATGTATTGTCTATCAGGCTATGTATTGTCAATCAGGCTATGTACTGCCAATCAGGCTATGTATTGTCTATCAGGCTATGTATTGTCTATCAGGATATGTATTGTCAATCATGCTATGTACTGCCAATCATGCTATGTACTGCCAATCAGGCAATGTATTGTCAATCAGGCTATGTATTGTCAATCAGGCTATGTACTGTCAATCAGGATATGTATTGTCAATCAGGCTATGTATCATCAATCAGGCTATGTACTGCCAATCAGGCTATGTACTGTCAATCAGGATATGTATTGTCAATCATGCTATGTACTGCCAATCATGCTATGTACTGCCAATCAGGCTATGTATTGTCAATCAGGATATGTATTGTCTATCAGGCTATGTACTGTCAATCAGGCTATGTATTGTCAATCATGCTATGTACTGTCAATCATGCTATGTACTGTCAATCATGCTATGTACTGTCAATCATGCTATATATTGTCAATCAGGCTATGTATTGTCAATCAGGCTATGTATTGTCAATCAGGCTATGTACTGTCAATCAGGCTATGTATTGTCTATCAGGCTATGTATTGTCTATCAGGATATGTATTGTCAATCATGCTATGCATTGTCAATCAGGATATGTATTGTCTATCAGGCTATGTATTGTCAATCAGGCTATGTACTGCCAATCAGGCTATGTATTGTCTATCAGGCTATGTATTGTCTATCAGGATATGTATTGTCAATCATGCTATGTACTGCCAATCATGCTATGTACTGCCAATCAGGCAATGTATTGTCAATCAGGCTATGTATTGTCAATCAGGCTATGTACTGTCAATCAGGATATGTATTGTCAATCAGGCTATGTATCATCAATCAGGCTATGTACTGCCAATCAGGCTATGTACTGTCAATCAGGATATGTATTGTCAATCATGCTATGTACTGCCAATCATGCTATGTACTGCCAATCAGGCTATGTATTGTCAATCAGGATATGTATTGTCTATCAGGCTATGTACTGTCAATCAGGCTATGTATTGTCAATCATGCTATGTACTGTCAATCATAATATGTGCTGCCAATCAGGCTATGTATTGTCAATCATGCTATGTATTGTCAATCATGCTATGTACTGTCAATCATGCTATGTACTGTCAATCATGCTATGTACTGTCAATCATGCTATATATTGTCAATCAGGCTATGTATTGTCAATCAGGCTATGTATTGTCAATCAGGCTATGTATTGTCTATCAGACTATGTATTGTCTATCAGGATATGTATTGTCAATCATGCTATGCATTGTCAATCATGCTATGTACTGCCAATCATGCTATGTACTGCCAATCATGCTATGTACTGTCAATCATGCTATGTACTGTCAAACTGTCAATCATGCTATGTACTGTCAATCATGCTATGTACTGTCAATCATGCTATATATTGTCAATCAGGCTATGTATTGTCAATCAGGCTATGTACTGTCAATCAGGATATGTATTGTCTATCAGGCTATGTATTGTCAATCAGGCTATGTATTGTCTATCAGGCTATGTACTGTCAATCAGGCTATGTACTGTCAATCAGGCTATGTACTGTCAATTATGCTATATATTGTCAATCAGGCTATATATTGTCAATCAGGCTATGTACTGCCAATCAGGCTATGTATTGTCTATCAGGCTATGTACTGCCAATCAGGCTATGTATTGTCTAACAGGATATGTATTGTCAATCAGGCTATGTATTGTCAATCAGCCTATGTATTGTCTATCAGGCTATGTATGGTAGTTACAACACAAAGATATACATCCACATGTTGTGGTCTGATACCCAAGATAATCAAAAGATTCTAATATCACAAACCTTCTCCAAAGCAGGTCTTATTGTTCTTTCTACTACAAGAAATGAATACCTATGTTTTAAATATGAAAAAAAAAACGTATTTAATAATAAAAACGTATTTAAAAATTATACATACATATATATATTCACTGGGACGGACTTAAACATCATGTTATGACAAACAACACTAAAAGGTTTTTAACATCACAACAGTGGAGACACTTAACAAACTGAGCAATTAGTCTTAGAATAAAAATTCTCTACAGTAAACTAATAAAAACTTTAGGTCATTTACATTTCCATAATCTAACATAACTTTTTTACATGGTTTACATAGTTTTAATGTTTTGTACACATAACTTCACAATCATATATAAAATGTCCCCTGGTCACTATAGATAAGGCATTTGAAAGCACAAAATATTGATCCATCTTGTTCAACCTCTAACTCTGGCTTAATACAAAATATTGATCCATCTTGTTCAACCTCTAACTTTCACTTTAATACAAAATATTGATCAATCTTGTTCAACCCCTAACTTTCATTTTAATACAAAATATTGATCAATCTTGTTCAACCTCTAACTTTCACTTTAATACAAAATATTGATCAATCTTGTTCAACCTCCAACTCTCACTTGAATACAAGCTATCATTTTGCATCAATTTCAATTTTGAAGAACTTTTTAACTAAATTCTGATGTGTATATTCATAAACAAATCAAATCAGGCTTACATAATAATTTCATTACTCAACTTTTAAAATCAATTTGAAAGAATCTGTTTTATATATACTTAAAATACTTTGTCACCAATAATAGTTGAGACTTTCCGAGATAAATGTAAACACAACAGGTATCATCCATGTTGATATTTCACAGAAAAGTACAATTAAACTTCAGGAAGCTGAAATAATAGTATTTTTCCTTGAAATTTTAACTTTTTTTTCCCATTAAAATGACATGGAATGTAAAATCGTAAGAGAATAACACTTGTTCTCCAATCAGAACATTTCACTTTTGACCATACTGTGACAATTCAAGTAATCATACAAACATATTATGCAAGATATTCAGAAAAATATTTTCATTATATATTGTAATAATATAAAAAAAAAATCAAGGTGAGCAGGACTTCCTATAGACATAGGCCTCCCGACCAATTAGGATATTAAAATTTGATGTTAGTTTCCTATGGTGTACAAATAAACTGAATATGTTTATGAGGTTTATGTACATCTTGTATATTAGGTGTAACCTTTGACCCTTAAGCTTTGACCAAGACCACCAAAATCTAATTATGTGTAAAAATTGACATTAACCTACTATGGTGTGAGTGTAAAAACATCTGCTGAGGGGATCAAAGGGTTTCTTGTACCAAAACTTTTTACGACAGATGAATGGACACGTGGATGGACAGATGTGAAATGGCAGCAGCATGTGACAAAGGTACTGATAATATACCCCCAAGTGTACTATAATATACCCCCAAGTGTACTATAATATACCCCAAAGTATACTGATAATATACCCCCAAGTGTAATATAATATACCCCAAGTGTACTAATAATATACCCCAAGGTGTATTATAATATACCCCCAAAGTGTACTTTAATATACCCCCAAGTGTACTATAATATACCCCAAAGTATACTGATAATATACCCCCAAGTGTAATATAATATACCCCAAGTGTACTAATAATATACCCCAAGGTGTATTATAATATACCCCCAAAGTGTACTTTAATATACCCCCAAGTGTACTATAATATACCCCAAAGTATACTGATAATATACCCCCAAGTGTAATATAATATACCCCAAGTGTACTAATAATATACCCCAAGGTGTATTATAATATACCCCCAAAGTGTACTTTAATATATCCCCAAGTGTACTATAATATACCCCCAAGTGTACTATAATATACCCCCAAGTATACTATAATATACCCCCAAAAGTGTACTATAATATACCCCCAAGTGTACTTTAATATACCCCCCAAAGAGTACTATAATATACCCCCAAGAGTACTATAATATACCCCCAAGTGTACTATAATATACCCCCAAGTGTACTATAATATACCCCCAAGTGTACTATAATATACCCCCAAGTGTACTATATAGAGGGTAGCTTTACTGACTTTACTATACAAGTTGAAAGGATCCACTTATATATAGGTATATATTCATGGAGATACTATTGTATTACATTGTAAAATAGGATCACACCAGATTATCATTTTTTTTTGAAATACAACCCATGTAGAAAATACATGTACTTTGTTATCATCAAATAGAACGGGATGATATCAAATAAGCAATCCAGATGATGGGCAAGCTTAATATGACATAAGGGTAAGACTGAACTAGTATTTAAAGTTTTAGATAATTCATTTTACCTACTGGACCCCAACTCCCTGCCTCCCAGAGGGCACACCCTCTGTTTATATGATTGTATGTATCCCGTTGGCCCACAATGCTCTGACTAAATTTCATTGAAATCAAGTTGTTAGCAATTCTAGAAAATTAAGAGGCATCTTAGAAGGATAAAAGTGATCGCGGGCACCAGATACTGCACCACTGAATAGGAATGAATAGACGTTAATCAATGGAGGTACCGTAAGAGAGTCTTACTTCAGTTAAGTAGAACATTAATGTAAAACATTACATATTTTAGAAACAACAAGATGTTATCATCTATATCTGTGTGGACAAGTCATGTTCTACAACAGTGTAGCTATCTATACCAATGGGGACAAGTCATGCTCTACAACAGTGTAGCTATCTATACCAATGTGAACAAGTCATGTTCTACAACAGTGTAGCTATCTATGCCAATGTGGACAAGTCATGTTCTACAACAGTGGAGCTATCTATACCAAGGTGGACAAGTCATGTTCTACAACAGTGTAGCTATGTATACCAATGTGGACAAGTGATGTTCTACAACAGTGTAGCTATCTATACCAATGTGAACAAGTCATGTTCTACAACAGTGTAGCTATCTATACCAATGGGGACAAGTCATGTTCTACAACAGTGTAGCTATGTATACCAATGTGGACAAGTGATGTTCTACAACAGTGTAGCTATCTATACCAATGGGGACAAGTCATGCTCTACAACAGTGTAGCTATCTATACCAATGTGAACAAGTCATGTTCTACAACAGCGTAGCTATCTATACCAATGTGGACAAGTCATGTTCTACAACAGTGTAGCTGTCTATACCAATGTGAACGAGTCATGTTCTACAACAGTGTAGCTATCTATACCAATGGGGACAAGTCATGTTTTACAAAAGTGTAGCTATCTATACCAATGTGGACAAGTCGTGTTCTACAACAGTGTAGCTATCTATACCAATGGGGACAAGTCATGTTCTACAACAGTGTAGCTATGTATACCAATGTGGACAAGTGATGTTCTACAACAGTGTAGCTATCTATACCAATGGGGACAAGTCATGTTCTACAACAGTGGAGCTATCTATACCAAGGTGGACAAGTCATGTTCTACAACAGTGTAGCTGTCTATACCAATGTGAACGAGTCATGTTCTACAACAGTGTAGCTATCTATCCCAATGTGGACAAGTCATGTTCTACAACAATGTAGCTATCTATACCAATGTGGACAAGTCATGTTCTAAAACAGTGTAGCTATCTATACCAATGTGGACAAGTCGTGTTCTACAACAGTGTAGCTATCTATACCAATGGGGACAAGTCATGTTCTACAACAGTGTAGCTATGTATACCAATGTGGACAAGTGATGTTCTACAACAGTGTAGCTATCTATACCAATGGGGACAAGTCATGCTCTACAACAGTGTAGCTATCTATACCAATGTGAACAAGTCATGTTCTACAACAGCGTAGCTATCTATACCAATGTGGACAAGTCATGTTCTAAAACAGTGTAGCTATCTATACCAATGTGGACAAGTCGTGTTCTACAACAGTGTAGCTATCTATACCAATGGGGACAAGTCATGTTCTACAACAGCGTAGCTATCTATACCAATGTGGACAAGTCATGTTCTACAACAGTGTAGCTATCTATACCAATGGCGAACAGAGTGCTACACTTCATCTTGTTATATCTATATCCAGATCATTCACACTTATTGTATAGAGCAATGGTGCAAATATTAATGGTATTTTAAGGTCACAAAAATATGACTGTCAATCACATTTAGCCGGCATAAAATTTTAGTTAAAATTCAGCATCTGTAACATCCATTCAGTAGAGTAACCCTAGCTGCATTGAATCTATTAAGTATAATCCAGGTTACATTTAGAGTTACCCATGCATGGATGAAGCTGTTCTATTTAAGCTGATATGCACATTAGACCATTTATACTTTACAAAGTCACTGTCAAATTCAGCATCTGTAACAAACCATCAGTAGATCAGCAGCCTAGGTGCATCATTGATTCAAGACAACTCATGCAGCATTTACAGTTACTCAGATAGCTATATAGGGTAGAGCAACCTTCTTAACCTGAAACAGGGATGTTACTATCATACAATGGGGGTTAGACAGAGGTATTTGGTACACAGTAGAGCATACAATGGGGGTTAGACAGAGATATTTGGTACACAGTAGAGCATACAATGGGGGTTAGACAGAGATATTTGGTACACAGTGGAGCATACAATGGGGGTTAGACAGAGATATTTGGTACACAGTAGAACATACAATGGGGGTTAGACAGAGGTATTTGGTACACATAGTTATACAATCAAAACTTTAAGTTAAGAGTGTCCACAAGCTAAGGATGATTTTTAAACTGTGCCTAGTTTGACTTCAGGAGCAGAGTTTAACTGTTTGAGTCAGCACCAGTATGTTGGTGATTTTCAGACCGACTCCTGTTGAGTCAGTACCAGTATATATATGTTGATGATTTTCAGGCCTTAGATTTTCTCCTTATTCATTTGTAGCCTCTAATATCTCGTCATCATTGACAAACAGTGTGTGTATAATTCCTTTACTCTTCTTGCCACTACTTGTAGCCACTATCCTGCCCGTCATTCTCTCGCTGATGTTGAAGTATGTCTCCACTCCTGTGTCTGTAAATACTCCCTGAAATGTAAAACACATTAATCTTGTCTTTAACAGATATTAACCATCGTTTTTAATTACACAGAGACTGTCAGTGTTATGGACATAATCTTCAATTAAAAATACAAAATATATATATTTGTTTTAAACTTTTTAGTATAAACATGTATGAATAGTTAGATTTCATACATAACAACTGCCTTAAACTACAAAACAGAGGCACTATGAAAATATGATGTTTAATAACTAAGTCAGGCAGCTCCATGACCCTACAGAAGACTGTTGATCTTATAAGTCAGCTAGCAGTATTTCTCTGTAGTAGACTGTTGATCTAATTAGTCAGCTAGCAGTATTTCTCTGTAGTAGACTGTTGATCTAATTAGTCAGCTAGCAGTATGTCTCTGTAGTAGACTGTTGATCTAATTAGTCAGCTAGCAGTATGTCTCTGTAGTAGACTGTTGATCTAATTAGTCAGCTAGCAGTATGTCTCTGTAGTAGACTGTTGATTTAATTAGTCAGCTAGCAGTATGTCTCTGTAGTAGACTGTTCATCTAATTCAAGAGTCAGTATGGTTCTGCAGTAGAATGTTAGGCAGTCAGTTATTTAACTCTATGCCATTGTTTACTGTGATCTTTACGAGGATATTTTAACCTTGTATTTCGATTCTAACCATAATTACAAATGGAGGAGGCAGGGTGGTTGTGGTCTACAATGCCCTTTTCTTTGCAAAGTAGAGGGGTACATATTTCCTTTTTCAAAAGTGAAAGGCTGAAAATCATCTATTCCAGGAAATCAAAGTTGAGAGTAACAATTGCTGAATTTAAATCTATTGCTAAGCAACGAACACGCTTTATGTTTGTCTTGATTTATTAACATTTGTTTTGTTTTCCTGTCTGAAAATACTTGTTAATTAACAATTTCCATGTTGATGGTGTACCTGCTATTTTATTCCTTTTGGGATTTATTTACCATTACCAGTAATAACATATTGAATACTTAAACATCTCTTTGAAAATGCACTGTCCTTTTTAAAGTGTTGAACTCAGTATACATTTCAAAAAGATCATGCAATGTGCTTGTCAGACTGACCCATAAATTAGGTCTACTGCCAGCCAAATGAATTCATGTTATTGTAGCTTAATTTGTTAAAACTTTGAGTGAATATGCATTAAAGCCGGCTATCTAGATCTGCAGCCTTCATAATTCAATGTATTTCAGGCATTAAATGTAAGAAGTTAACATTATATTGTACTTAGTCTGTGAATTGCTTACCTGCGTTTCTACCATTCTGTCGGCCATCCACACATCCAAGGTGTCTTTCTCTGTATAGAGAAAATAGACCATGAACAGCAAATTTACATTGTTAATACACACACTGTATCACTGTAACTTCTACATTGTTAAAATCACTGTAACATAAGTTACACAGTTAATATCACTGTAACATAAGTTACATTGTTAATATCACTGTAACATAAGTTACACTGTTAAAATCACTGTAACTTATGTTNACAGCAAATTTACATTGTTAATACACACACTGTATCACTGTAACTTTTACATTGTTAAAATCACTGTAACATAAGTTACACTGTTAATATCACTGTAACATAAGTTACATTGTTAAAATCACTGTAACATAAGTTACACTGTTAAAATCACTGTAACATAAGTAACATTGTTAAAATCACTGTTACATAAGTTACACTGTTAATATCACTGAAACATAAGTAACATTGTTAATATCACTGTAACATAAGTTTCATTGTTAATATCACTGTAACATAAGTTACACTGTTAAAATCAATGTAACATAAGTTACACTGTTAAAATCACTGTAACATAAGTTACACTGTTAAAATCAATGTAACATAAGTTACACTGTTAAAATCACTGTAACATAAGTAACATTGTTAAAATCACTGTTACATAAGTTACACTGTTAATATCACTGTAACATAAGTAACATTGTTAATATCACTGTAACATAAGTTACATTGTTAAAATCACTGTAACATAAGTTACACTGTTAAAATCACTGTTACATAAGTTACATTGTTAATATCACTGTAACTTCTACATTGTTAAAATCACTGTAACATAAGTTACACTGTAAGTATTTGTTGAGTTATCACCATTCATCTTCAACAGTTCAAAATCAGGCATATTAACAAAAAGTGTACCAGGTAGTTAGTCATGTACTGCATATGAATTTTGAAGAAAAAGGTATTGATAACAGACTACTAGTGGTACGTATACATGGTTCAATTTATAATTTGACTAGGTACAATAATGATCATATTGACAAATTCTTTCTAAATTTTGATTTCAGGATTTTTTTTAAAAGATGTCAGTCTTCATAGATATACGGTTTAGTGCATACCAGGTAGATCCCTTTCTTCTCTAGTTTTACCATTTGTATCTCATTATTATTTTTTATATATAATTGTGATTCCTTCATAACGCAGCGATGCTTAGATACAATTTGTGACTGGCATGCTTTCTGCTTTATGATGATAATCTCACATTAATAAGCCTTGACAGAGAACATGCTAACATGATAACATTCAGCATAAACACAAACATCAGCATTGTACCTAGACATATCCTTTTGATTTCTCCATCTACAACTACATTCCAAGCTTTTTGAATTTTCCTCTGGTTTTCCCGGAACTTCTGCAGTGGCTTTCCATTCACTTCCAAGGTGTATTCATAGGCAAACCCACTCACAGCTTCTACACCAATTGTACACTTGGCTTTTCCCACTTCAAAGTGTTCTTTACCCACTAGTTTAAACATCCATTCCTTCCTAAATATATCCTGAAATATACACAATGTACATAACGTTACATGTTACAGAGTAACTGTCTGCAGAAAAACACTCAGTCAGTACTGATCAAATAATACAAATCTGTAATTTTGTCTATTAAATGGCTATAGAATACTCCTGAGTGCTGTTCTTAATTCAATTGCACATTCAAATACAGGTATAAAATTACTGATACAGTGACATGACTAAATCCTTAAAAACTTCCAAACATATAGTAATCACCATTCATTTTATTCTGAAAACACATTTTTGTTAAAATTAACACCCAAAATTACTAATTCTCAATCAGCATAAAAATCACATCCATATTCTTAAACATTTATGAAATTAATTACTTATCACAGCTAAGTTCTTTTCTTCGTTAAAACAATCACTTTTTGTTGATCTTAAACAGAAAACCATCTAGCAAAAGTATTATCTTTTTCCTAAATATCCTTTATCTACCGTGAATAACAAGAGCTGTAGGAGAACAGCACAGCTCGTCTATTAAAAATATTTTTTGTAAAAAGTGCTAATAGTAATTGGGCCAATACAGGATGTTCCATCTTAGATAATAGATCAGGAAACTAGAACTACATTGTCGATGGCACACTCCCGCTATCCCCCTCGATTACCATATGCAAAAATAAATAACTGTAAAATGTAGAACTTGTGGTTATGTTAAATTTGATATGCTAAAAGACTTCATCCAAAAAATTGTTTTTACCCCTATGACTCCACCCCCTGGCCCGGTCCCTAGGGGGTCATATCAAAAATGTGAAAGTGGGGGGTCCGGGAATTCATTTGTACAATCTTGAATCCCCTTCTCCTAAGGATGCTTCCTGGCAAATTTGTTTCAAATCTGCCAAGTAGTTTCAAAAGAACTAGAACTTGCCCTAAAACTTTTACCAATTCCAAGAGACTTGTATTTTGGACAAATAATGAGCAAATATGGTCCAATTTGTTGCTAAGGAACCTCCAAGCAATTGCTGTAACCATGCATATTACAATGTAAAATCAATTAAAAGTTGAGTTAAACACCAAAACACAGCTTGCCCAAAAACTTTAACCAAGTGGGACGCCGACGCCGTGGGTACTGCTATAGCCCCCTATTCTTCGAATAGACGAGTTAAAAATGATAAAATTACCTTTCCATCCACCCAAATGACACGCTTTCCTGAAGTTGTGCCATGTTCAAATATGACGACATGTAGACCATCTGGGAGAGCCAGCTGCCATTTTGCAACTACATCATCAGAACTTGCCATTGTTAGATTTTCACCTGTAAATTAATGTATATACCAGGAGTAATATTAATGTTCTGCAACCATTACAACTTTTAAGTCAATTTCATGTAAGAATAGTGTGGGATAAAAAACAAGAGGCCTATGGGCCTAAACGGTCACCTGAGTCCTTCAGTATTTATTTTTGTTGTTAAAATATGTACCAATTTGAGTACAAAATAGTTAAGTATAATGTTAACTTAAGTTTGTCAGGACCATGAGCTGATCATTCCTAGACCGAGTTTCAGTTAAATAGGAACTTGTTTTTAAGTTTGAAATAGTTTTTTCAAAATGGCGTCCGTGTTGGCCATATTGGATTTCTGATCGACCCGAAAAATAACAACACTTTGTTAGGACCATCAGTCGATCATTCCTACAAAGTTTCAGTTCAATCGGCCCAGTAGAACTTGACTTTAAGTTTGAAATAGTTTTTCAAAATGGCGGCCTTGGTGGCCATATTGCATTTCTGATCGACCCAAAAATAACAACAATTTGTCAGGAACATGAGTCAATCATTCCTACAAAGTTTCAGTTCAATCAGCCTCACAGAACTTGACTTTAAGTTTGAAATAGTTTTTCAAAATGGTGGGTGTGGCGGCCATATTGGATTTCTGATCAACCCGAAAAATAACAACACTTGGTCAGGGAGATGTCAGTAACCTTTCCATGAAATATTTATGAAATCCCTTTGCCAGTATTTCAGCTTAAGTTGAAAATGTAAAATGTTAACGGACGACGCATGACGACGGACGAAGACGGATATCAATAGGTCACTTGAGCTAAAGCTCAGGTGACCTAAAAAAGAAGATGCTGTTATATATTTGTCAAATATATTTATATTTCAAACTTTGTTGACACCATTATCAATTCATAAAAACATAAACACCTTGTCCTCCCACTACCTGTTCAGACCCCATCCCATACACAATGTTTACACTGCAACCCTTGACGACAATGGAAAATGTGTTCCCTAAATTGTTTTCAGGACAGCATGATTCACTTGCTAGCAGGTTAAATTATTGAGTTCAGGATAACATGTACTTTCATGGGCATGTTAAAGTGGAGATAATATGTATACTTAACATTCAATATTTACAATTGACAGTTCACCACATTTCGTTGTCCATCTTGTTGTTTTCACATTCAGAACCTAGTTACATAAACGGAAGTGTTCCGAGTAACTTTAGCTGGAATTATGCACGTGCAGTTTTCCGTATTTGTTCTATATAAAGATGTGGTTTTGTATCGTTCGTCAATCAGAAGTAAAGTCCTTGTGAGAATGCAAGACTCTCGCCCTCTCTTTCTTTCTAGGACTCGTTAGGTAACAATGTAGGGCCAGCACTGAGCAGTAATGATTAGCATTTGGGTTTGGAAGTAGTCTATACACATGTCTAGTTAGAATTCCAATGTAGAATCCGTCATCTAGCTTACAGCAAGCAGTGTAGGAGTATGTCTCTCAGCCACTAGTTTGAATGAACGGTGTTGTATAGGGTGCGTGCGTGGGTGAGATATCTGTGATCATATACTGCTATTACTTTACACTTGTTCTGCTGAATAAAAGATATTGAAGTTTATAATCTTGAGTCTATGTTCATTTGCCATACTTCATGTTCATCAATTTATAAGACACTAATTGACCCGAGATTCTTGGATAGAAACCGCTCCTTTTACAGGCATTTAAGGAAAGGGTTCAGAATAAGAATTTATTGTTATAAAAACGGGGTAAGGCTTATCAGAAAACAAGCTAAGGGGGCAGTGTAGTGTAGCAGACTGAGCCAAATAACTACTGGTGATCAGATAGCTGCATAGCTACAGCACCTGTCTGACATAACCCTGCTGCATAGCTACAGCACCTGTCTGACATAACCCTGCTGCATTCTCCGTCTTCTGTTACATTATCAGAGGTACATATAATGAGTCTTACTCTTTAGATTGGATATACCACTGGTTACAGGTACATGTAATTGTTGTGTCAGCAGAGCAACTTACGTTTAACCTCTTAATATAACTGGCATGTGATGAGTATCACCTTATATGTGATGTGAAATTCAAGTGATATAGCACTAGAAATGTGTCATTAAAAACCCAGCACAAAAAGATTAAGTAATAACTCCAGCATTCACATTGGTCAGTATGGGCTCGAGTCTGAGTATCAGGGGTACATATAGCTGTATACTTGACACCTTGATCAAAGCATCCACAAGGCCACCCTATCCCTGTTGATTTTGCCCCTACTGTAATTAATTGTTAATCATTACATCAAGTTTGTTACATTGGTGTCTGTGACCAACCCGTTTCAAGGACTGGGTGAATGCTTGGCAAGGTGATACCTAAAATCTGGGTTTTAAACAGTGTTGTCTTTGGAAGCAAAGGCTTAGAAAATAGAGGGAGGAATTAATGTCGCAAAACTGCAGGACTGGTTCATTGGCGACCAGGTAGTCCAATTGGTTAGAGCATCAATCTGTCTAGAGTTGGGGGTTCTGGGTTCAATTCTGTTCTGGCAATGCCTTTTTTCAATCCTGTTAAAAAAAGCAATATGCCACACATGTGTCCAACTGACATCTAAATTTCAGATTGTCTATGTTTCTGTGAAATGGACATATATATATATATATTAGTCTTCATTCTGGCTAAAGCCCTCATGAAGTATAACCATACGCACAATGTATGCAATCTGAGACGTCAGGTGAACACGTATGTATTTTTATCTTTATAAAGATCCTATGTTTAATATCCCTGATGTAAGGAGGCATGACCCAAATCGATTCAGTACCCAAATTGGATCACTTTTTGTAAAAACACTTTTAAATAAATAAACGTGTCAACAGATCAGTTAAAACAATGATGTAGACTTAGAATAGATTATAAAGCCATGCACCATTTTTTGTCTACAGATAATTATTTTTTAAGTTAAAAGGGTCAGTGTTTTGTTTACATCTTAAAAAAATGGCACGTGCGACGACTATGCATTCTGTTTTGGACTATAGGAATAAATTCACCCTATAGAAATACTTGTTTTCTTATAAATTTCAAAGGTCATCATAAAATGTTACTATTCGCACTGTTCGTAATGTTTTTCCGGTCATTAGATAGCCGCAGCTAGTGAGACCGTCCTTTTGTTGTTTCATCCTTTATATACTGAGGGTTTGTGCATATTTCTCTTTGATTGTCGAATGTACAGCAGTATATTAGATTAAGGTTAGATTAGCAAGTATCCCCACTAAATCACTGGCATTTCTCCAGTTTCCTTCCCTTTTCTGGTGTTCTGACCTTCCTTTGATTTTTCAAGTTCTTTGTAGGATAATATTTCCAGTTTTGGAATAAGCGAGATACCCCCACTTAATCTGTATCAGAAAATTTATACAGTTCACTATCCTATACATTTTGAAGGGTATTTTAGGAGTGCCTGAATTCTATGCTGAAAAAAAGGTCATTTGAAGTGTACGTAAGATAATGCAAAATTCAAACCTTGATCCAATTTTGTTCATGACATTCGCAAAAATCCAAAACGCTGATTGGTGACTTAAGAGCATTCTATAAATATCTATAAATATATAAATATAAGTGAGCCCCGTGTGCTAATTTCATTAGTAAAAACACCTGTCGATAATCTTCCTTTGATACAACCATAAATGAATATAATACATCCACAGAAGTTTTAATTGATAAATAAAATGATGGTTTGGTGATTCGATTTGGTACTGTCACTTTAAGCTTCTTCTTCTATGTATCTTCCTCCTATGGTAGTCGATCAAGTATATATATAAAATGAAATTGTTGTCTGACAGTGTTTTCCTTGTTACACCAGTACTGTTTATACCATTGATTTGTAGTAGGTTGTAAAAGGATGCAACGGCTTGTGGTATCATAAATGATTTTCAATAAAGGTCACCTGATGTCACTTAACTTTTGTGCTGTACAACAATCAAACGGCTGTTCTTTAGTGTTCATTTTCTCTTTCACTTTTCATGTTCAGCTAACATGAAACTTGCAGTGCAATTCACAAGTTTTGAGAAGAACTTTAAGCGAACAATGACATAAATACACAAAAGGTTACCTCCTGACTGAACGCAGCAATTTGTTTGTCATCTAAAGACGAAACAGGAGGAAATGCACCATAGAAATACCACTTTTCAACGCTTTTCAACCAGGATCTGATTTCGGCTGCTGGGCAACTATTTATACAACATCCGGGCACCTGTTAAAAATTAGTGTCGGGCTAAGTATGGGGCACTAGAAAAAACTCTATAAATAAATGAAACGCATATCGAAATCTTGATTTGATATTTTGAAATACTTATTGAGTCTCTCGTTTTCTTATATTTTGGGACATTGTAAAAAAATGTATTTCTATTTAGTTACGGACTTGTAAACAAATATGGCGGACACTGGCAGCCGGAGTCCCTTGCGATGGGTAAAATATATAGACATACACAAAACTGTACATCACTTGTTATATTTTATTCATAATTTCCACGTTCGGAAATATTTTGCACTTAGTTTTTGATGTAATTTTGAGCAAAAGGTTGATTTCAAACCGTTACTTTATATTTTTATCTGAGGACCCGCGAATTTTTCAAATTTTCAAAATCACTTGTACAGGCATGTTTCAGTCGTTTTCTCATTAAAGCCTGTGGAATTTTAAAGGTTTTAATCTAATCAAAAATTGTTTTTTTTTTATTTTGCACATTCTTTATTATGGCATATTTACTTTTTTTATTCTAAGGGAGGCCCGAAGGACTGGCGATCACAAGCAGATGACTTGGCTGATACGGGATATCAGGTTTGCAGTCCCACTCCACTCCAACCTCCCCCGCCCCCAGGAAAACGCCATTCCTTACGTCCCCTAAGTCTACCAACGCCCGTATTTTACATTTTCACTCGTAAATTCGAGGATTCATGTCGTATTGTCCTTAACCCTGTTCGCACTACGGGTCGGTCCGGTCGTTTTGTCTTGTACAAGTGGGGATCCCTATTTCACAAAGTACCACTGCACCCCTGTTGTATGTTCCACAGCCAAGCATATAATGGGTGTCTGGGTATACGTATCCGTGATCCATTACACGCGCACAAGTCATTTCTTCTGTACTGTACAACCAAGAGTAAGTGTCAGACCACTCACTCTCCTAAGATTTTCAGTTTGATCCCCAGCAGTGTGGAGAAACAAGAAGTGATATCTGGTAGGATCAGTTGCTGCCACTCCGATTGGCACTGCTTTAATTTTCCCACTTGAGTTTTTCAACAAGAAAACCAAATATGTTCCCTTAGCATCACCATAATAAAAGCTCTTCAGAGTTATGTTTGTTGTTGAAAATGTACACAACATTAAACAGTGATGTTTATATAATAACTTTTTATCTAGCTGGCCCTGTTAGTTGATAAATAAACAAGTTATGGATAAGTGGACAGACTACAAGCAAAAGTGTGAGAATGTAAACACTGTACCTCAGAACCTGTTCGCAAACTATAAGCGTTTAGCAATTTCCAAATAAGATGCTATCATGGATAAGTAGTGTTTTTTTTAAATTGAGGCAGCAACGGGTGACTTATTTTAATAATTGAAAATATATACTAATCAGAATGGCCGATGTGATGTCCAGATCAGTCCCCAAAGATTCAGTTCTTGGACTGGTTCTACATACACATTTGATGCCTGTCATTAATCTACCTTATGATACCTCATATGATCATCATATATATCATACCGTGAGGCAATGAATAAAGCTAACAGCATCATAGGTGTCATAAGAAGATCATTTGTATATTTGGACGAACATATGTTCACAAATCTATTTAAAGCACTATTTCAACCTCATTTAGAGTATGCTGCAAGTGTTTGGAGTCCACACAAAATTAAGGACATTGAAAGGTTAGAGAATGTTCAAAGAAGATCTACAAAATTACTCCCCGGATTTAAGACCATTAGCTACAGCGAGAGATTATGCTGATTAAAGCTTCCAACTCTAACATACAGGCGCTTGCACGGAGATATGAACTATATGATCCGAATTTGGTGGAGGGATTGTTCGATCTTGCCGCTCAAAGAAAAACTTGTGGACACAGTAAACAAATACTCAAACATTGTCATTTAAATATAAGAAAACACTGCTTTACTCAAAGAATATTTGATATATATGGAATAGTCTCCCACAAGATGTTATTTCATCTTGTAACGTATTTGACTTTGAGAAAAACTTGGACGAATCCTGGAAAGATCTTGAGGTGGAAGTACGATCATACTGCGCCTTATATATAGGCTTATTTTATGTTTACCAAAAATGAATTTCAAACTATATTGATGTGGATATAGAGGCAGCAATGCCTGTATCCACTAATATCCTATTAAATCCTATTAATACCTTTTATGATTTGTGGACATAATCATTACTAAGATATTTGAGATTGATCATAGAGAGGGAATTCAAAGACAAAATCATTTCCATTGTACAACACAATAGTACCGATTAACTCACCTAGACTACAAACATATTTTGTTCTTTGACTCAGTCCACCATTTCTTCCATGATTGCAAGATTAACTACAGTAATTGCAACTATGTATGTTTAAATTATGACTTGTATCAATTATTTAGTCATCCATCTACCTGAACAACTTCCACTGCACATGCATGTTACATTAGATATCGTCCTTATACAGAAGCATAATTTGAAACACACCAGGGACCTGAATCTGCATCACTGGGATGTTTATCTTTGGGAACCTTCACCACTGCAAATTAGATTTGCTCCTGCTTGTTTTTTTTAATATCCAAAATGCTGGTAGACAAGTAGTCATGTCAATTGGGATTGGGCGAACCACTTTTGCTGATCGAGGGTGTGCTCTTCCAGTACAAATTCTTCATCCTTTCTCCTCCTCCTTCCAACCCCCACCCCTACCCCACCCGCTCCCTCGTGCCTCACTAATCTCAGAATGTTTTATTACTTTTGAAAAAATAATGCTAGAAATATGTCAAAATCTGATTAGTTGTAACAATTAAGCTATTTAGTACAATATATGTAAATATTCAGTTTAAAGGTCTGCAATTATCCCTGTAGAAGAACATGGAATAGGCTATTAGTATAGGCTGTAGTGTAAACAGAATTGCAATACCTAATTTTGAATTATCGATCTGATAAGCGACATATTTTTTATATTTCCTAACCTGTCATCTGCATGAACTAGCTATGTCAACTATATTGTCACGTACTTATAACTTTATGATGTTATTGTATGACACCATTTCTTTAATTTTAGAATGAAGTGGAGGAGTGGGTAGAATTAAACAGAAAGCTAAAACAGACTGGCCTACCTGGGATAAAGCTGCTGCACCCAGCTGATGTCACACTGTTAGCAGGTATGTATACAGTATATACTGCTGTACCCATCAGCTGATGTCACACTGCTAGCAGGTACGAATACAGTATATACTGCTGCACCCATCAGCTGATGTCACACTGTTAGCAGGTACGTATACAGTATATACTGCTGCACCCATCAGCTGATG